CGCCTGTCACGCGGCGATCTCGCTCTCGAGCTTGCTGACGAATGTCTTCTTCGCCTATGTGGTGAAGATGAACTACGTCTAAACACCTCATTAATATAATGATATACGAGAAATCATTTCCAAGATTTCTTAAATACTTCAAGTCAACGATTTTACAACGTCTCTATAATGAGAAATTACCTTCGCCTACTAGTCGTGTGATGAGATCTCGCCTTGGAACTCGAGCCACTGCTTTGCGGTTTTGTATCTTCTAAAAATAATGCAATTAGCCAATCAAGTGATGTTTATTTGAAAATTCGTATTTCATCCAGCATATTGCTGCTACAGCACAAAAAAAATTCTCTAACTGATCACTTTCCTCGAAAAATTTATTTCATAACTGCAACTCAAATTGCAAACTGTTGATAAAGAGAACTAGATACCCACCATCGCTGCTGCTTGAATCTTTTCTGCGCCGAGTTGTGGAAGACAAATCCTTGCGTTGACTCCTCGACTCCTTCACTGAATCTGAAAGCGGATATCAAATATGAGAAGATTAGCTTTAAAATGTAGAAGATCCAAAGACGCATATTTGATGCAAAAACAGCGAAGCAGACATTGAAAGTAAAGTTAATGACAGAAAAAAAAGTTTAGAAAGGGGATACGAAGTCCTACCATCGGAGTCATGACGCAGACGGCTTCCCCTCTCTGACTTCCCATCTCTTTTCTGCTTAGAGCGATCATAGGATGTTTCTATAAGATAAGTTTTGATTTAAAAAAAAACTAGAATACTAGAGTATTGTTAAAAAGGAAAATAATAATTCTAATGGACAACAGAATTTTACTAGTACAAACTCAAGTTCGCACAAACAGTATTTCAACAACTATGACCGCTACCCTTCTCTGGATACGAGAGGATAATTCTGCAGACGTTCAACAACTACTTTATCATATCTAAAAAAACCACTTCTAGGACTTTTTCACCTTTGTCACTTTCGGTGTCATGTCTATGCCTTTCTCGAACACTATGCGATTTTTTCTCGTCTTCATCTGAATAACGAAAACTATTCTTAGAATATTCCATAGAGCGTGTATATATTTCTCACCTCTGTCACTGTCATGTCGACGTCTATCTTTATCAACTCGTGATCTTTTCTCGGTCTCATCTGAAAAATGTTTCACTGCGGCTTGATAATTAGAGAACTCCAATCCAAAAGAAATGCCGAAATTCTCAAATATACCTCACTGCTAATAACAGATAACAGAATTTACCTTTGTCACTGCCCGTATCATGTGGACGTTTCTCGTCATCTTTGCGCGATTCCCTTTTCGTTTCACCTGGAAGAAGCTTTGCAGATGAACACTAATTTCAACACTCTACAGTTCAGACTTCAAGATATCAACCTCTTTCAGTGCACTAAGCGATAATGATTTTATAAATTATTACGATCAAATAAAAAGCGTAAAATCGTTGCACCATTGTACTGTAAAACTCTATGACTAACCGTTGCTACTACTCGAATCTTGGCGACGCTTGCTTTTCTTGGCGTCCTCTTCACTATCTGGAAGAAGAAAGATTTGAGCAAGCAAAACCATGAGCCACGAAATAAGATTTACCTGAAGAATCTGAATCAGATGATTCGTGTTTTCTCTTACGTCCTTTTTCTTTCTTGATTTCTCGATTTTTCTTCTTATCATGCTTCTTTTCTTTGCGTTTCTTTTTCTTCTTCTTGTCTTTGTCGCCTTCAGTGACCCCCATTAGCTTTCTAGAACAAAAATTTCGTATGAGCAAGAGCGAAAATAAATTCAAAACACTTACTTCATAAGTTTTTTCTTTTCCTTATCACTCAAACCTTCCAGGAACATCTTCATCTGTTCAGCTTCGGTCGGCTCCCCTCTCAAAGCACTCACTTCCTGGTCTTCGCGGATGCCTATAAAGGAAAGTAAAGTTTGTAGCACAAAAGTATAAGAATGACTACAAGAATTTGGGCAGCGGCCACCACAACCAAGATCAACAACGAGCATACCGTTTAAAACATTTCCTTTGAGACGTAGCCCATGAGTTTCTTTCATTTCTTCAGCCAGCTGGGTGCGATCCATGAATTCGCCCTTCTCATGCCTATCTTCTTTTATACGAGACGGTCCAACATTTTCTCGTTCTTTGCGTAATTCTTTGATTAGATCAGACGGATTGTTTGCATCTGAAAAGTGGTCCATTAAGGGTGAACAAGTGTGCTAATGTATCAGAATAAAAGTTACAATACACTTATCTTAACAGTTGAGAGAAAAACGAATAATGGAGAATAATTCTTACATCCAGCATCCTCGAAGTTGCCACTCATCCCATATAAAGGGCATTCATTGTCAGTGTTTAAGTGACCCCACTTATGACATTTGCAGCATCGAACATTGCGCACCTAAATTCAAATGTTTCCAACAAGACAAGAAAACTGATTACTGATTAATCACATACTAAAAAAGCATGCTTACCTGAATACCAAAAGGCTGATCTTGAATCTGATCGTTATCCTTTGCCCATTCTTCACGCGGAGCATGGTACTTGCGCTGCCATTCAAATTTAGGTTCTTCCTAAAGCAGAATGAAGAAGACAACTTTTGGTGTAAAGAGAAAATTCTTAGTACGCGATATCTCTTTCTTACCTTCGGCTCTTCTCGTCTAGCCATCCCTGCAGGTGCATCATACATGAACGACAATCCCATCTTTGCTTTTTCATCACCCAGCAACGCCCTAAACAGCAACCTCAATAATAAAGTTTCTACAGAAATGAAGAAAAGAAACTGTGGGAAAAAAAAACTTATAGCCAATTCAGATCACCTTGTATATCTCTTATGTTTTTTACTAGTTCGTAATTAACAACGCACAATTTTACTACCTGTTGTCACCTTATGAAAACTAAGAAGTCAAAACTTAGAAAGCTGCATATAATTGCTGGAAATTTGAAAGTACTGGCAATTTACATAGATGAAGGAACATGTACACTTGATGTTTGTACTTCATGTTACGAAGGGTTTCCAAAATGTATTCAGAA